GGATGCGAAGGCCGCCGTGCCATGTTTTGATCGTCTTGATAGCGAGGTGAATGAGAAGCGATTGCTGCACGGGACTAAGTTCGAGCAATTGCTTCCCTCAATTCTGCGCAATGGCCTCAGTGAGAAGCTTAGTGGTGGGTTCCTGGGTAAGGCGGTGTACTTGGCTGAAATGCCGGAGAAGATGGACCAGTACCCGCAAGCTGCGAGCATGACCAATGCCGAATCTGCACATTTCTTCTCGCATGCCCTCTACAAAAGAGAAAGGACATGTCTCGATCACTCGGAAGGCCTGTGCTACTGCTTCGTGGTGAGGACGGTGCTGGGAGTTTACATGGCCAGCAGCAGGCTTGATGCTGGCTGTTGGATGTCTGCAAGTAAGGAAGAACTGCGATTCATGGAGGGCTCTAAGCCGGAAATACCGTATCATTCCCTTGTCGCAGAAACTGGAGAAGCTTTGAAACGATTCAGAGAGTTTGCCGTGTATCATCGGGACCGTACATACCCGGAGTATCTTCTCGCTTACAGAAGGGAGCAATCTGACAATCCTGGCGACGCGCTGGGCTCTTTCACCGGTGAACACTTGAGGTTTTACAGTTTGCCAACCTCACCGACTTTCTCCGCCAGCTCACATATTCTTCCTGTGACACTTCGTGGTGCGATTCGAAAGCTCGAGAACTCCCTGCAGCTGCCAAATCCGGAGGAGTTCGAATTCTTCAAGCTGGAAAAGGCAGGACACGAGTTCCGCACTGAGCTGAAGTGCCATTTTGAGGCTGTCGGCTTTGCTGCAGAGATTGTCGACATGTGGGAGATCCGAAACCCCTGGCTGGCCCGGCGATATTTCATCCATCGTGCAAAGGTCCGAGCAGAGATGCTGTCTGATGAAGCGGACGTTGCCCGAAGAAACGGTCGCAAGCCACAAATCAACCCACCACCGCAAAAAATTGGATGTTTGGCTGATTTGCTGCCAATGGGGCTTGACGCAACCATGAACGAGTGCCTGCTGTTCCATGGAACAAAGAAGAGCAAGCTTTGCAAGCTTTTGCAAAGTGGCTTAAGTGAGAGGTTTGCGGGCTGGGTTTGGTGCGGTCGCGGGTCTTATCTGGCCGAAGACATTCAAAAAAGCAGCTGGTACACAGATGAGGACAGCGGGCCTGAAGATGCGCTTTCATATTTACATCAAACGCTTTTCGGAGACGGGTCCGCAAAGCATCCGTCCATCGGAAAGCCCAGGGGTCACAGATATGTCTTGATTTGCAGGGCAGCTCTTGGATTTGCGAAATCATTTAGCTGGCCGGACCTGCTTTTTCCTTGGCGCATTTTTGCTGACGCAGGCAAGCATGAGCTCGTTGCCTTTGATGAACTACCAGGTCGGCGGGGCAGAATCCCGTATCATTCTCTGGTTGCAGAATTCGACGGCCGTCCCCGTGAGTTCGTCGTGTTTCGGAGCGAGCTCATCAATCCCATCATGCTGGTCGCATACAGAGACGAGCCGAGGGAGTGTCAAGACTGGGCTTACTGTGACTGTTGAGGACAAGCCGGCATTGGGCGCGCATGGTGAGACATGGACCTCTAACACATCCGCAGCAACAAGCGTGGAACTTTATTGCAGTGCCTTTACACGCCAATCTGGCCACATGTCGCGTGCATGGTTGCTCTGGACGGTGATTATAGCAGCGTTCAACCACCGCTGCCCTGTGAAGTCTCTTCAGTTTGCTCCACAGCGAGTGAGCACGGCAGTTCCCGCCGACAACTTTGCCAGTCTTATGAAGATTTCTGTTAAGGTGAGCAACTGCTTCCGTAGATGCACAGCGTGTTTTGTTGTTCAAGTTGCGGTTTTGGTGCAGAGCTACTTGAGCTGTGAGCACGAACACTTGCAGGTCTTGTGGTCCAGGATACCTCAGAGCTGAAATGCTTGAATTGCCCCGTGCTGGAAGGGCTCTGACGTAACTTGGGCTTGGAGCCGTTTCACGGTAGCAGCCTGACATGAGGCAGCAACAGGAAAGGCATGTTCTCAGCTGTAATCTGTAATTCTCGACCGCAGCAGGGATTGCAATTAGTAGGATCGTCATGCAAGGCGCCCTTAACAAGTTTGTCAGGCTGATCCGGGTGCAAGCATGTTGACCACCAGGATCATGAGCGAGGACGACTTCGATGCTGGCTGCGGAGACTTGTTCGTCCCTGACGACATGGGGCTGGTGCTTAGAGACAGCACGCCGAATTTTAGGGGCAGGACAATGCCTTTGATAGGTCCTACTGGGGCAGGAAAAACGACTCTCTTCAACAAGCTCACCGGCAGCACGGAAGAAACTTCTGGCGGGCGCCTGACACAGACGCAGCACAATGTTTCCCATCCAGGTCTGGAACCAGCTCAGGGTCTCTCTATCATCGACACTCCGGGCTATGCCTCCGAAGGAATGACGTTCGATCATGCGTTTGAGCTCCGGAAGGCCTTGACGACTGGGGAGGTGGCGCAAATCGTGGTTGTGCAGGACCTGGGCAACTCCCGGCAGGACAATCTCATGACTATGCTGGCCCCCATCAACGACATCATGAGCTGCGACACCTTCTACTTGGATCGCTACGGTAGGGACTCAAGAAACACAGGCTGTACTCGCTCTCCGTACAGGACTCGTGTGTTCCTCGTGTTCACGAAGCGGGATCTCTTCCAGCTGCAGCGTGACGTCGCAGAGTGGACAAAGTACATCAGGTTTGCCCGGGCAAGGTTCCCCTGGATAGGCCCTGTCGCCTTGATCGACCAGAATGTTTCGACAGAGTGGCTCCAGAGGACCGTCGTGGCGTGCGCTGGCTACGAGCCACTCAGTTGCCACAGCTACACAATCCCCATGCCCGACTTCTTTGCAAGGTTTCCATTGCAAGGAGTTCTGACTGAGGGCGAGAAGCTCCACTTGCATCAGTTCAGTGACGAGATATGTCTGAAGTTCCGGGCCAAATTAGAAGAGATGTCAGGGAAAAGGGCCGATGCGGCCAATGCTTCGGTTGTTGAACTGATCGGCTTTCTGGATGATATCTTTGAGCGCACGGCGGGTTGTGCGCTTGTGGAGCTGTTGCAAATTCCGGCTGAGGACTTGCGCTTTGCTTCTCACGAAGAAGTGCTCAATCACAGGACAAAAACATGGAACAGCGTGAGAGCCATGCTGGCTAAAGTGTGTTGGAACATGAAGGCTGAAATTCGCCATTCATATCCTCAAGCGATCATTGAAGCGTTGTACAAGAGATGCAACTATTGCCACCAAGTCTATGTGAAGCCGTATGATGGCTGCAGTCACTATGTGACTTGTCCTGGGTACACAGCACCGAATCCGAAACCAATGCCAGTTGCTGGCAGTTCCGTGAAGAGCGGATGCTTTTGTGGGATCCTTTCCTGCGTACGACGTCGCTTCTTCCGCCAAACTGCATTGACGCCCAGGCAGGGTGCTGAGACTGGAGAGGCGTCACCATGTGACCAGCAGATATCGTGGGCAACAATGCCACCCGTGCCGCAACGGGAGCTCGTGCATGATGGAGTTCTCCCAGAGTCTGTCGAGTCGGGCATCGAGACCGTTGAAGCTTGGCTCTGTGAGCTGGGGCTGGGCCAGTACGCGTTAAAGTGTCGCGAGAATGGTATCAATGCTGCAAAGGTTCTTCGAATGTCTGAAAGTGACCTGCAAATAGCTTTTGGGATGACCAATACGTACCATGCGCGAACAATTTTACACGAGCGCAAGATCTTTAACAAGCATCTGACTCGATGAGTTGGCCTTGGCCCGCATCCAAACTGGCGTTCCTTTGCTGAAGAGGCACACCGTGTGTGGATGGCAGCATAAGGGGAATCCCAAGAATGGCGCGCGTTACAACTTTGATTCTTGCCGAAAACAGGATGCTCATGAGACGCTGATCCTGGATCACTCGTTGGTTGAGTTTAGCGGCTCTCCGATGAGGGGCCAGGGGGGGGCGGGTGCGGGGGGACGCTGAGAATGTGATGTTAGCAGAGCACACAAGATGCTGACTCCACGCATCCAGGACTGATTCGAAAATATCCTGCATCATGCTCTAGCTTCTTTGCAGATTCACCGTGATGGCGAACTGTGTTGTTCAAAAAAAGCAGCCTGTCAAAGCGTGCCTTGTGCTTTTTTGCTCGAGCGGGGACGGGCATTCCATGTCATTCATACACCTACTGCCGGAGGAAGGGTCGTCGCTGACTGCAATGGCATGGCGGATGCAGAAACCCGAAAAAAAGATGTTATGCGCAACAGACAGGATATTTACGTGTTAAGAACCCATAGTGTTGGAAGCCCCAAGTGCTGGGTTGCAGATTAATGATGACTATGAGTGTGGAGAGGTGTGCAAGTTGCTGACAAGAGCTTTGTGCCTGACTGAAGAGCTGTGCCACATAGCGATGGGAGGGGCGAATGAGGTGCAGTGAAGGAGAAGGAGGCGAAGGAGGAGGAGGCGCGCGTTTATCAACGTGGAGCATTCTTGGGCTCGGGAGCTGCCCAGTGAAAACGGTTGCAGCATCGTAAGTAGCATGACCAAACATGCACCTTCACTTTGTCCAGAACCCTGCTGCGGATGGAAGGTGAAGAGGCACCACTCAGGAAGCCAAGCTCTACTCCAACTCGGCTTGGACCATGGTGGCGAAACTGAGGCTGTAGACTTGACCCTGAAACAGAAATCAGTCATGCATTCCACATTAGCCCTGAGAAAGTTGGTTGATGTTCCAGCTGCATCGTGCTAGCGGCATGAGCTAGCGTCGCCGCACGCTTTGTTGATTTGGATGCGGTCTGTACGTGTGTGAGGCCGCAGTTTTTTGTTGAGTGCTACCGCGCTGCCGCGATTGGTGTACCTTGGCTTCAAGCGTGTGGCAGTTTAGTCCAGTAGCACGGTCGAGGATGTCGCAGGGTGCTCCATCTACTGGGCTTGGTCACAGCATGTTGACCACCAGGATCATGAGCGAGGACGACTTCGATGCTGGCTGCGGAGACTTGTTCGTCCCTGACGACATGGGGCTGGTGCTCAGAGACAGCACGCCGAATTTTCGGGGCAGGACAATGCCTTTGATAGGTCCTACTGGGGCAGGAAAAACGACTCTCTTCAACAAGCTCACCGGCAGCACGGAAGAAACTTCTGGCGGGCGCCTGACGCAGACGCAGCACAATGTTTCCCATCCAGGTCTGGAACCAGCTCAGGGTCTCTCTATCATCGACACTCCGGGCTATGCCTCCGAAGGAATGACGTTCGATCATGCGTTTGAGCTCCGGAAGGCCTTGACGACTGGGGAGGTGGCGCAAATCGTGGTTGTGCAGGACCTGGGCAACTCCCGGCAGGACAATCTCATGACTATGCTGGCCCCCATCAACGACATCATGAGCTGCGACACCTTCTACTTGGATCGCTACGGTAGGGACTCAAGAAACACAGGCTGTACTCGCTCTCCGTACAGGACTCGTGTGTTCCTCGTGTTCACGAAGCGGGATCTCTTCCAGCTGCAGCGTGACGTCGCAGAGTGGACAAAGTACATCAGGTTTGCCCGGGCAAGGTTCCCCTGGATAGGCCCTGTCGCATTGATCGACAAGAATGTTTCGACAGAGTGGCTTCAGAGGACTGTCGTGGCGTGCGCTGGCTACGAGCCACTCAGTTGCCACAGCTACACAATCCCCATGCCCGACTTCCTGGCGAGCTTCCCAATACCTTTCATGCTGACTCAAGCAGAGCAGAATGAGCTGCAGCCCTTCAGTTCACAGCTCAAGAATGACTTCAATGAGGCCCTTCGTTCTATGGATGGTTCCTTCATGCACGATTTGCAGCGTTCTCTACTTGATAAAGGGCCCCAGCCGTCTTCGTCTTCTGTTCTTGATTGCCTTGCCCACTTTTTGGATGATCTCTTCGATGACGCAGTCTGGAGGTGTGTCGGGCAAATTCTGAAGTTGCCGGCCGATGAGCTGTGGAACACCATTGATCCAGCAATGCTCAATTTTAGGGTGGAGAAGTGGAACGGTGTCAGAGCGGCCCTTGCAAAAGACTACGTGTCAATGAGGGCTGCGCTGCGGCAGCGCTATCCAGAAGGAGCTGAGGCCGTGTACAAGCGATGTAACCACTGCAGGCTGATCTATGTGAAGCCTATAGGCTGTAATGATTGGACTACTTGCGGAGCACCAGTTCATGGCAGCGATGTGATGAGTTTCCATTATTGCTACGACCCATCGGCGAGGCTGAAGTTCCAAGTCAAGCAAAAGACTCGTGCAGCCAACAGGTCACAGTTTGAGGAGCAAGCTGTTACCAGGCGCGATCGTCTCAGAAGCGTAGTTAAAGATCTTTGTGTCGCATGGATCTATGGCTCGGGAGCTGACGACCCTAACAGAGCCAGGGACAGCGCTTCCAGCGAACCTGCGCCTTCCCACGGAAGGGGCTGTGGCAAAAGCATCTCTTGGCGTTCCATGCCTGCCGTCCCTCAAAAAGAGCTTCAAGAGCTAGGGCTTCTCCCCATGCTGAAATACGAGACCAGCCACATGCTTAACAGCCTTGGGTTGGGTGTTCGTGCAGTTGAGCCATGGCTCCGCAGGCATGGTCTCGGAGCCTATGCCCCAAAGTTCCGGGAGAATGCTGTGACGTTGAATGTTTTGCAACAGCTGACCGAGCAGCAGCTCCGAACTGACTTTGAGATGACCAATGTCTTCCATATCCGTACGTTCATAGAACAGAGAAGATACCTTCTCAAGAGGGTGAACTCAGAGAGCCTGAGAATTGAGGCTGTTGACGATTGGCTGCACATGATGGGGCTTTCGCAATACGTTTCGAGGTTTGCTGCACAAGGCCTTGACCATGTCTCGATGCTCAAGATGGTGACCCCAGATGAATGTCGAACTACGTTTGGGATGGTTAATGAGTACCATGTGATGACGTATCAAGCAGAGAAGGTGTTGCTCGATGACGACGACGGGTCTGCGATACAGCTTGGAGAAGCCGTTCCTAGGCGCGCGGAAGCAGGAACGCTGCAGACAGCTTTCGATGATGTGCAGACGCGGACAGAGTCTGTGGAAGCAGGGACTCTGCAGACGGCTTTAGCTGATGTGCGGACCGAGCTTGAGATGATGAACGAGTCCGAGTACCACATTGTGCCGAACTCAACAGAGTCCCTGCTGCTCGGCGCTGTGAGGCGGCGTGAAACCAGTGGCCGCAGTTCTATGCCAGCACAAACTTTGCCTGATGCAGTACCCAGGCGTAACAACTGTAATCTCATGTGACAGCCAGAACCCCGGCGGCAGGCCCGCGCCACAAGCAGTTATCTGCGATGCAAGCAGTGAGCTGATGTCTTTTCTGGATTTTGCTGCTCAGTCAACGTTTCCTAGGTCCTACTGTAGCTACCAGCAGAGGTTTATGATGGAGTGATGTGTTCGGCACATAAGATGCTCCGAGCATCCGTGTCGAAAGAAAGCGTTGCCAGTTGGACTGAAGTATCATGACACGGGGCTGTTCTAGCAAGCAGACGTCTTCAGTTTGCGACCCTGTGCAGCATCGCCATCGCCAGGCATGGAGAGGACTTCGAGGTCTCGCAGCAGCCAGGACCTCGACGTTATCGTGTTCAAAGTGCATGGTTTGTCCAGGTTCGGCAAGTCTGCAGCCATGAAATCGACATCTACTTCCATGACGCTAGGAGTATTGAGCTTCCAGCCCGCAAGAGCTGAATCTGAATTAGCGAGGAAGTCCCGTTCCTGAGGACATATGAGTTTTGAGTCGGCCTTCCAAGCTTTCGCAGGAGCTTGTATAGCTTGTATAGGGATTTGGTTCTTGAGAACGCCCTGTGCCCGGAGGCTAGTCATGATTTGGTGCTTGTGCGTTTGATCACTTTGGCACCTCACGCAGCACCGCCAATGCCCTGCAGCAGGAACGGCTGTTTGCTTTTTTGACAGGGATATGTAAGACAGCACTCAGGGTGTTGTGGGCACTTGGACACTGTGGTATGTTATGCGGTGGTTTTCAATATTTCAGTACATAGCTTCTGAAATGAAAAGCTTGCCGAACGCCTGCAGGAGGCAGCTCTGACATGCCCTGCAACAAAGGAACCATTGATTCAGCCCGTTTGGTGTGGCTTGGAGGTTACGTAGAAAGCGACAGATGACTACACGCTTTGAAGTGAGACGGGTACCGCTTTGCATCAAAAGCCTGGCTTGTTCTGCGGCAGAACCTGAGGCATTGCATGGCACGCGCATTGTAAGCTACTTTTCGTCATGCTTCTTCCTGTCTAGGCAGTTCTGTTGACGACTGCGTTGATGATATGCGGCCAGGAGATGAGCTACGCCGGCAAAGGCCCACGAATGCTCTTAGCATGTTCCGTTCTTGCACTCTCCATCCTTCAGGCTGCTTAGGGTGTCTGTTCCGGTTTTTGGACTTGGGATATGGAGCTTCGGGTTCACAGTGATACGGTGGATGGACGAAATCTTGCACCGCCTGTACATTCGTACTTCAAACGATTGAGGCATCAAGCCCCGCACCCCCTGCTTAACATTGGCGGTTAGGACTACTTGAGCGGTGCAAGATTTCGACCATTGGAACAAATCTGGCCGTTAGCTTTTCACAGCCAATGTTAAAAAGGGGGCACGGGGAACACAAAAAGACGTGTCTGAAAAGCGGTGCAAGATTTTGTCCATCCACAGTCCCTAGATGCAAAAACACTTCTGTTCTTCAGTTCCTTTCGGCGAGTGTTGCCGGGTATGTTCTACGAGCGTGAGTGACTAGCCTTCTGAGTCGCTTTTCTGGCTTCAACGACAGTAACTTTGCTGGAATGCCGTTTTGCACTCCCAAGGTGCTTCAAATGCGTGCAAAATAACAGTCAACACTCAGTCAACACTCAGTCAACACTACAGTCAACACTACAGTCAACACTACCAAAACCCTGGGAAAACCAGCAGATTCCACAATTCACTCGTTTTAAAGGAAAATAATAGTTTTTTTAGCTTCTTAACTTCCAGAACAGCAAAATGCTGGATTTTCCAGCATTTTGGCAGCGTTGACTGTAGCGTTGACTGTAGTGTTGACTGAGTGTTGACTGAGTGTTGACTGTCATTTTGCATGCATTTGTTGCTTTTATAGGACATACAGCTTTTTCTAGCTTCTTCATGTCCAGAACAGCAAAACGCTCGATTCTCCAGCGTTTTGGCAGTACTGACTTGACCGTAGCGTTGAGTGTAGATGGAATGAGTTGCTGCGTCGTGTGTCCCGAGCACGTCCAGGCACCGTAGAAGAGGATGGGGACGCACTATCAGCTTCCAGTTTCTGCAGGTGTGCGAAAGATGCAAAAACACTTCTGCTCTTCGGTGGATGGACGAAATCTTGCACCGCCTGTACATTCGTACTTCAAACGATTGAGGCATCAAGCCCCGCACCCCCTGCTTAACATTGGCGGTTAGGACTACTTGAGCGGTGCAAGATTTCGACCATTGGAACAAATCCGGCCGTTAGCTTTTCACAGCCAATGTTAAAAGGGGGCACGGGGAACACAAAAAGACGTGTCTGAAAAGCGGTGCAAGATTTTGTCCATCCACAGTCCCTAGATGCAAAAACACTTCTGCTCTTCAGTCCCTTTCGGCGAGTGTTGCCGGGTATGTTCTACGAGCGTGAGTGACTAGCCTTCTGAGTCGCTTTTCTGGCTTCAACGACAGTAACTTTGCTGGAATGCCGTTTTGCACTCCCAAGGTGCTTCAAATGCGTGCAAAATAACAGTCAACACTCAGTCAACACTCAGTCAACACTACAGTCAACACTACAGTCAACACTACCAAAACCCTGGGAAAACCAGCAGATTCCACAATTCACTCGTTTTAAAGGAAAATAATAGTTTTTTTAGCTTCTTAACTTCCAGAACAGCAAAATGCTGGATTTTCCAGCATTTTGGCAGCGTTGACTGTAGCGTTGACTGTAGTGTTGACTGAGTGTTGACTGAGTGTTGACTGTCATTTTGCATGCATTTGTTGCTTTTATAGGACATACAGCTTTTTCTAGCTTCTTCATGTCCAGAACAGCAAAACGCTCGATTCTCCAGCGTTTTGGCAGTACTGACTTGACCGTAGCGTTGAGTGTAGATGGAATGAGTTGCTGCGTCGTGTGTCCCGAGCACGTCCAGGCACCGTAGAAGAGGATGGGGACGCACTATCAGCTTCCAGTTTCTGCAGGTGTGCGAAAGATGCAAAAACACTTCTGCTCTTCGGTGGATGGACGAAATCTTGCACCGCCTGTACATTCGTACTTCAAACGATTGAGGCATCAAGCCCCGCACCCCCTGCTTAACATTGGCGGTTAGGACTACTTGAGCGGTGCAAGATTTCGACCATTGGAACAAATCTGGCCGTTAGCTTTTCACAGCCAATGTTAAAAAGGGGGCACGGGGAACACAAAAAGACGTGTCTGAAAAGCGGTGCAAGATTTTGTCCATCCACAGTCCCTAGATGCAAAAACACTTCTGCTCTTCAGTCCCTTTCGGCGAGTGTTGCCGGGTATGTTCTACGAGCGTGAGTGACTACTGAGTCGCTTTTCTGGCTTCAACGACAGTAACTTTGCTGGGATGCCGTTTTGCACTCCCAAGGTGCTTCAAATGCGTGCAAAATAACAGTCAACACTCAGTCAACACTCAGTCAACACTACAGTCAACACTACAGTCAACACTACCAAAACCCTGGGAAAACCAGCAGATTCCACAATTCACTCGTTTCAAAGGAAAATAATAGTTTTTTAGCTTCTTAATGTCCAGAACAGCAAAAATGCTGGATTTTCCAGCACTTTGGCAGCGTTGACTGTAGTGTTGACTGTAGTGTTGACTGAGTGTTGACTGAGCGTTGACTGTCATTTTGCATGCATTTGTTGCTTTTATAGGACATACAGCTTTTTCTAGCTTCTTCATGTCCAGAACAGCAAAACGCTAGATTTTCCATCATTTTGGCAGTACTGACTTGACTGTAGCGTTGAGTGTAGATGGAATGAGTTGCTGCGTCGTGTGTCCCGAGTACGTCCAGGCACCGTAGAAGAGGATGGGTACGCGCTATCAGCTTCCAGTCTCTGCAGGTGTGCGAAAGATGCAAAAACACTTCTGCTCTTCGGTGGATGGACGAAATCTTGCACCGCCTGTACATTCGTACTTCAAACGATTGAGGCATCAAGCCCCGCACCCCCTGCTTAACATTGGCGGCTAGGACTACTTGAGCGGTGCAAGATTTCGACCATTGGAACAAATCCGGCCGCTAGCTTTTCACAGCCAATGTTAAAATGGGGGCACGGGGAACACAAAAGGACGTGTCTGAAAAGCGGTGCAAGATTTTGTCCATCCACAGCCCCTAGATGCAAAAACACTTCTGCTCTTCAGTCCCTTTCGGCGAGTGTTGCCGGGTATGTTCTACGAGCGTGAGTGACTACTGAGTCGTTTTTCTGGCTTCAACGACAGTAACTTTGCTGGGATGCCGTTTTGCACTCCCAAGGTGCTTCAAATGCGTGCAAAATAACAGTCAACACTCAGTCAACACTCAGTCAACACTACAGTCAACACTACAGTCAACACTACAAAAACCCTGGGAAAACCAGCAGATTCCACAATTCACTCGTTTCAAAGGAAAATAATAGTTTTTTAGCTTCTTAATGTCCAGAACAGCAAAAATGCTGGATTTTCCAGCACTTTGGCAGCGTTGACTGTAGTGTTGACTGTAGTGTTGACTGAGTGTTGACTGAGCGTTGACTGTCATTTTGCATGCATTTGTTGCTTTTATAGGACATACAGCTTTTTCTAGCTTCTTCATGTCCAGAACAGCAAAACGCTAGATTTTCCATCATTTTGGCAGTACTGACTTGACTGTAGCGTTGAGTGTAGATGGAATGAGTTGCTGCGTCGTGTGTCCCGAGTACGTCCAGGCACCGTAGAAGAGGATGGGTACGCGCTATCAGCTTCCAGTCTCTGCAGGTGTGCGAAAGATGCAAAAACACTTCTGCTCTTCGGTGGATGGACGAAATCTTGCACCGCCTGTACATTCGTACTTCAAACGATTGAGGCATCAAGCCCCGCACCCCCTGCTTAACATTGGCGGCTAGGACTACTTGAGCGGTGCAAGATTTCGACCATTGGAACAAATCCGGCCGCTAGCTTTTCACAGCCAATGTTAAAATGGGGGCACGGGGAACACAAAAGGACGTGTCTGAAAAGCGGTGCAAGATTTTGTCCATCCACAGTAGCAAGTGAAACATGCTGATGACTTTTGTCACAGGG